ATCCTCCTGCCTCTATCTCTTAGGAGGACAGGCTATGCCACCGTGCATGGGCAAATAGAGGATTATTGTATGACACATTCTGAAGACTGTCATGTCTGTTTGCTAAATCCTCAATAAATATGGTGCTAATTGTAAATGCATTAGTTGAATTTCAGTTGAGCAACAAAACATCCATCACTGAGACAGTCCCTCCCTCAGTGCCATTTAATAAGTTCTGATACCAACAAATTCAATTTTCCAGGTTAGTTTTCTCTATTCACATCAAATTTAATACCTTGGTTTTATTTGAGCAGTGGATGGGTCTGAAAACCTGGACATAAGTGCATTGTATTATAGGTATGGAGATGGATAAGACTGGCTCTTGATGTTTTAATTTCAAAACTCCTCTGTCGGTCACATTCTCGGGTTATACACTAGTTCTTGGGGAGAAAGGGCAAATGTCTGAGGCATTACTCTGAAAGAAGATGGTTGGAGTGGGTGTGGCTTTTTCATAATTGAGTCAGGCTAGATAAAGTTGCACAGAGTATATGAAGCAAATGTAGAGATTTGAAAAGTTGCACAGTGTCCATGACACAAATGCAGAGATTTGAAACACCAGCACCTAGCTGTTGAGGAAAAGGCCTAGTGCTTGAGTTTCTTCTGAGAGATGCTGTCTAGAATTTGTGCACAGATGTGATGGAGACAAAGGATGCCTTGACTGGAGGGTGATGTGCTTGTCCTGGTTCTCCATCTCCTTTTGTCCTCTAGGGAACTGAAAAGAGCTGCTTGGGATAATAGGAAAATGAGCCCATATTCTCTTTACTGGTTCTCTACAATTCTGTATTTTCCTTTCCGATCCATCTTATTATATGAACGTGCTGATACTGTCGCTGAATATTACAGTATTGATCACTAAGACCATGTAAATTCTTCTGCCTGCATCAGCCCTGATTAAACTAGGATAGAAGAGTCAAGGAGGCCAGGGGCTAGTCACAGGCTAGGTGTATGGAGCACTTGACAGAAGGGTTGATGAGGTAGGACCAGCCCTCTGGAAGCAGGCCACAGTGGCCTGTTGTTTATAGAAAAGACACTAAAGAGAAAAGTCTAGAAGTTATTTCTCCCTCCCTTCTACCATCAAGCTTCCCAAATTTTCTTTTTCATTTCCTTCAGTTCCCACTTTCTTTGTAAAAACAAAACAGAAAAACCACAAACCTTTTAAAGCCATACACACCTTTAATCCCAGCACTCATGAGGCAGAGGCAGGCAGATTTCTGTCAGTCAGAGGCCAGCCTAGTCTACAGAGTAGGTTCCAGGGCAACCAGGGCTATGTAGAGGAACTCTGCCTCCAATATTAATTAATAATTGATAATAATAGTAATAATAATTGAAAAAAAACATTTGACATTAGTATTGTCAAATGCCAGTTTGTAATATTTGGTCTTTTCTGAGAGCTTCAGGCTAATAAAGTGAGATAACTAGCCATGTTCAGAGATCTCGCTCATATATGAACGCCTTTGAAAATCTGCTGTGTTAGCAGTGTTACCTCCAATAATGGCTGGCAAAGAAAAACAAACCAAAACCATAACCACAACAACAAAAAGATCCGTGATTTCTTTGCGCAGAATGCAGTGGTGAAAGTGTAGGCTCATCTGGTGGGGCAACGAAAAGATGTCCATTGAGGACGCTGCTTCGTCGCCCTTGCTAAGGCTTTCTGTAGTACTGTCACTCCTGGATCTGGTGCTGACCCTCGTCCAGACCCCTCTGCAGTGTTTCTGGGTGTGCTCTGGAGACTGTGGGGCTTGGGAAGGCTGCTCTCGTGCGCCTAGTGCTCCCTCAGCAGTGCTGCCTCGCCTGAGTGTAGGGCAGCTCTGCCTGCCCGCTACAGCAGGGCCCTCTACTTTCCACCCTTGGTTTTCTGACTAAACTCATACATTAAGTGACAGGAAACAGCAACATCCCCAAACCTTGAACTTTGGAAAAATTTCAGGCATCTGCAAACAACCCATTCCAGTGATATTGTAGTTGGTGAGTGCAGCAAGGACGTGGGCCCGGCTGTTCTCGTCTGGGCAATGCTTTGAAATACTGGAGCTGTCTTCCAAAGAAAACTTTACCAAGCTCACATGATCGGACTCATCCGACACACAAGCTTTTTTCCTTCCTCCTAAGGACTGATGCAACTTTACAAGTATTTGATGTACGTTTCCCTCCCTGACAGCCGGTCTCCAGGGCTTTGCTTTAGGTTCCAGGAGGAACAGTTATGAATGCAGTGTGACTCACTTGACTCCCACTCTGCTTCTGCTTCTGATTGGCCAAGGAGTGCTCTAGCCTGCTTCTCTCTAGTTCTTGCCTCCGCTCTTCCCAGCCATTTGCACACAACACTGGGAGCAATGCCTGGGCTTTGTCTCTTCATTGTAGTTCACTTCAGTAGGCAGGAATCACGAGAACACACTGTAGTTCCTAAAGACGGCTGTTGAGGATAAAAACATCCTGTTCTTTTGTGCCTGGTACAGTAATTATTTAGTTTCCTGTGCTGTTTCCTTCATGGTTCACCCCCTCCCTACCCTTCTCTTTTCCTTTGGCAAGTGTTCCTCCTGTTTCTCTCCTCTGTTTTTTTATTTTTTATTTTTTATTTTTGTAGAATTTCTTGAAGTTTCTTTTCTGCTGATATATGCTTGATATCTGATGAGGAGGAAGGTTGAAAGAGACTCTAATAATTCTGATTTTTAAACATCTAATGTTCAGACAGGCACTCAGTGTTAACATCTCTGTGCAGTGCTCACAATTATCAGCAGCACCCTCTCCCGTAAACGGTAACACTTCCATTGCAGTGCCTTTCGTATATCAAGAAGACTTAAATGTTAAATTTGTAGAAGCATTTTATAGTTTAAATTTTTTTTGTTTTGCATATGTCTTTTGCAAAAAAACTTGGATCCCATTAAGAAATTTTTTTTTTTTTTTTTTTTTTTTTTGCCCAAAAAGGCAGTGCTAGTGTAGGGTGTAATGTACAATTGGTCCCTCCCCAAAAGTGGCCTTTATATGATACTTTCATCTGAAAAGAATCTATAACAATATTTAAAAACTTTTTGAGAATGTATTTAGTATTGACTTAAATGTTTTAAAAATCCATTTCATGAGTATTATACTGTTCCAACATGCTAAGAAAAGTAGCCTGCAGGGTTTTTTTTTGTTGTTGTTGTTGGTTTTTTTTTTTGTTTTGTTTTGTTTTTAAGAGAATATGGGTGGCAAAGTTGAATAGAGCCACATTAGTAATTTGCAAAACCAGCTGTTCTGGATTCACTTAACCTTTTATTGAAAGCGTTATTTTGAGGGCACTGTACTTGACTAACATACATGATGCCCTGGGTTTGACCCCAGCCTTGCATAAACTAGTTGTGGTGGCAACATCTATGTTCCCAGGACTCCAAAGAGGATCAGTTCAGGATCATCTTTGACTACATGGTGAGCTGGAGACCAGCCTGGGATACATGAGACCTTTTCTTGAAAAGCTAATTAATCAAAACTATTCTAATCTCAACTGGCACTAAGCTTCATTTTCTCCAGTCATAATCTGTCTCAGAAAATACCAACCTTTTGTTATTGGAAACAGCAAAGTACAGCTGATGAGTTTAGTTGAAAGTGTTAGAGGAGGAATGATGCTTTGAGACAGGAGAGTCAGAGTGCAGCCTGGCCCCAGATGGTAGTTATTGTGCAGGTCCTCTGAGCCAGTGAGTGCTCTTCAGTCCTGTCACTTTGCACGCTCTGTGCAGGGATGAGAACATATGCTTAGCAGCATAGTACTCTCCACAGAGTGGAGATGTCAACAAAGCCCTGCAGCCACAGCTCTTGCTTGGTGATGAGTCATAGTTAGAGTCTGGTGCTGTAGCTTGGTGGCAGTGTACTTGCCTAGCACACGAGGTCAGCCCCTGCGCCAGTGGTTCTCAGCCTTCCTAATACAGTGATCCTTAACGCAGGTGCTCATGTTGTTGTGACCCCCAACCATAAAAATTATTTTGTTGCAGCTTCATAACTGTAATTTTGCTATTGTTATGAATCATTATGTGAATATCTGTATTTTCTGGTGGTCTGAGGTGACCCCCTATGAAAGGGCCATTCAACCCCAAAGGGGTTGTGAGGGTTCTCACAAGTTGAGAACTGCTGCCCTACACCAATAAAGAAAGGAAAGGCAGGCAGGAAGAAGGCAGGTAAGGAGAGATGGATTATTATAATAATGAAAACATCCAGAAACACATCTTTTTTTTTTTCTTATTTAAGTGCAGCCTAGAAAGTTGATGAAACCTTGACTTTAAATTTTCTTCTTTCTTATTTTTTTTTAATTAAAAAAATTTTTTTTGAGACAGGGTCTCACTATGTAGCTCTGACTGTCCTAGAACAGTGTAGACCAAGCTGGCCTCAAACTCACAGAGATCTTCTCATCTCTGTCTCCTGAGTGCTGGTATTAAAGGAGCTACCGCCCCCACCACCCAGCCCTCATCTCATCTTACAGACTAGGACACTAAGGGACAGGTGGGTTCAAAACACCCACCTACCAGCATATGAACTGGGACTGAATTCAGATGTCGTAGCTCTAGAGTTGTGCTTCTGCTACACTGCTCTGCTGTCTGGCCTGGCATGCTAAATCGATAAGAAAGGAATCTGCGCTGGCTATAGAACCATCCCTGCAACCCTGGAACCAGATGGTCAAGCAAGAACCTACTAGACTGAATAGTGAAGCCCCCCAAGGGAGGGGAATGGGCTGGGGAGAAAAGAGAAGAGGGGAAGGAAAAGATGGAGGGAGGAGGAAAGCTCCACTTCACTTTTTAAATCTGTATGCCTCATTTTCCTTTCTATAGAAAATATTTCTGATAACACTGGTTTTATACTAATGGAAATCTATAAAGTTCTTTGGGTTCCTTGTGTTAGAATCTGTAAATTTCAGATGTAGTAGGTGTTAGATAAAGCTAGTTGTGGAAAAACATTGGAGAATGAACAACATTCTGATAGGTTTTCTCTTCATTTGGCAGAAAAGAGTAGTTGAACAGCTGCGGAAGAACCTGATAGTCAAGCAAGAGCAGTCGGACAAGTTCCAGATACAGCCATTGTCACAGTCTGAAAACAAACTACAAACAGCACAGCAGCAGCCACTACAGCCACTGCAGCAGCAGCAACAGCAGCAGCAGCAGCAGCAGCAGCAGCAGCAACAGCACGCCCAGCAGTCGGCAGCACCGCCCAGTCTGACTGCATCCCAGGTAACCGTGTGGGTGGAGCGGCCAAGGCTGGGTGCTGGGCATTGATTAGTTCTTGGCCACATAGAACTGGTGTGTATTCCAACTGTCTGAGCTCACCTAACATACTAAACAAGTTTTCTGGGTTTTGTTTTGAGATTTGACTATCACTGATGTAAGGATCAGTTAAATTTACTAGCAGAAGGAAAGAGCCTTCTAGAGAGCAAAATTTAAATGATTGTGTTGGGAAAATGGCTGAGTTGGCAGAAGGCTTAACTAGTGTTCATGAAGCCATGAAGGTTTGCTCCTGGGCACCGCATTAAACCAAGTGTGGTGGTGCATGCCTGTGCTCCCAGCACTCTGAGGTTGAGGCAGGAGGATCAGAAAGTCTGTCAGTCACCCTTGACAACATAGCAAGTTCAACTTTGAGGCATGCTTGGGCTTCATGAGATCCTCTCTCAGAGAAAGAGAGAGATTTGATGATTTCAATTTGGAAGATTTCTGGGGGTATTTATTTATGTGTGTTCTAAAATGACTTGATCTCTTGTGGAACTGTTTTTCTGAAATTCTTAGGAATTAGGCATGGAGCTGTTCCAGGGTTTATGTTTTTGGAACTACATAGAAAGAAACATTCAAAGGGATGCTGTGTTTTTATTAACCATAGAGACAAACTGTTCAAGTTCACTTCTTGATGATGCGCATTGGTTTTAGTGCACTGGTAGAGAAAGTGAGGGCACAGGTGGGACTGAGAGCCAAGTCGGAGTGTGGAATTCTAGCTTGATGTAGCTGTGGAAATGCTTTACTGAAAAGGGCATTTAATCTAGCATAGATTGTGAGGACAGAGTCAAGATACCCTGAAAGGGCATATTTGAAATTGACATTTGATTAAGAAAATTATTCAGGTTTGACCTCTACACACACGCTCACACACACACACACACACACACACACACACACACACACACGCTCACACACACACACACACACACCCCTTCTTAAAGCAATTGATGGGCCTGGGTAGACGGCTCAGCTGGGAAAGGGCCTGCCGTGAAGGCAGGGGAATCTGAGTTCTGCATCCAGCACCTACATCAAAAGCCAGTGCATGGCCGTGTGTGTTCTTCAATCTCAGGGCTAGCGGAATAGAGAAAGGATAATCCCTGGGGCTTGCTGGCCAGCCAGCCCCACTGAATCAGGAAGTTTGAAATCGCAGTGAGAGATCCTATCTCAAAAAACAAGGTGAGGGCTGGAGAGATGGCTCAGGGATTAACAGCATTTGGTGTTCTTGCAGAAGACCCAGTTTCGGCTCTCAGCACCCATATCAAGAGGCATGCACCAGTTTGTAACTCCTTGTTTGGCTCTCCAGGCACTTGTTTGGCTCTCCAGGCACTTGCATGCACACGGTACACATACATGCCCTCAGGCATGCATGTACACACAGTAAATGAGTAAATAAAAATAAATCAATTTAAAAAACAGAATGAAGTTGATAACTGAAGAATGACACCTGAGGTTGACCTCTGACCTCCACACATCTGCACACCTGCACACACACATACCCAATTAAATAAATAAGTAAGTAAACTGAAATAAAAAAGAGATGAAGAGAAGGCAGTTAAAGAGTATCCACTGCTTTTACAGAGGACCCCACTTTAGTTCTCAATACCCACAGGCTGGTTTGCAGCCATCTGTAACTCCAGTAACAGTGGGCCTATCCCTTCTTCTGGTCTCTGTGAGCAACAGGCACGCACATGGTGCACAGATACGCCTACAAACACGTATACACATAAAATAAGTACTGTGTTCTTAAAGAGTCTGGCCGAGCATAGTGGTACATACCTTTAATCCTACAGAGGCAGGCAGATCTCTGAGTTCAAGACCAGCCTGGGCTACAAATCAAGAGTTCTAGGGCAGCCAAGGCGACACAGAGAAACCATGTCTAAAAAATAGAACAAAATAGCAACAACAAAAAAAAGTCTAATGTGTTGGGGTTGTAGCCCAATGATAGAGTACTTGTCCAGCATGTGTGTGAGATCCTGTGTTCCATCCCTAGCACCAGAAAGAAAGAAAGAAACAAACAAACATAGATACATAGATAAGGCTAGTGAACAGTGGAGTTTTGGGTCCTCTGAAACACACCAACACCAAATCTTCACTATATATATAGAGGAAAAATAGATTTTTACTTATCTACTTATTATTTGTAGACTCAGGACTAACTTACGTATAACACTTTTAAAGCCAAGGATTGAACCAATTATAAAACTACTAACAATGCCTATCGTTTAATAGAAGCTACTGAATACCAACATATTGCTCATGGCTTTCCTTATATAGTGGAAACACTCTTTACTCTTAATCCTACAATTTAGATTTTTTACAAGACAAAATTTAAGACATACATAACAGAGAGTATGCAGTAGAGCCAAAATTGAACCCAGAGGTTCTGTTCATTTAATTACTTTTCTGTAGTAATACCAAACAATACCAAGAAAGAGAAGTCAGTACAGTATGAAACCTAGGAAGAAAAAGGCTGCTGAGTTGGTTCAGTTGTTAAGAGCATTTGTTGCTCTTGCAGAAGAGCAGGCTTTGATTCCCAGCATCCTTCTCATACGTGTCAGTAACTCACCTCTAAGGGCACCAGGCACATAAGTGGTATACATACATATGTTCAGACAAACACTCATACACATAAAATAATAAAGTAAGTAAATAAATCTAAAAATATTTTAAGTCCCTGTCTTAAATCAGAGAACTAGAGCATCAGACGTACTCTCACACTAATCAGTCACCCCCAGCAGGGTCTGCCTGTGTAGTTCTGGCTAACCTAGCACTCCCTTTATAGACCAGGCTACTCTCACACTCAGATGTGCCTGCCTCTCAATGTAGGCTTATTTGCCTGAATGTATGTATGCACGCCACATGTAATGCCTGCAGAGGCCAGAGTAGGACATTGGATCGCCTGGGGCTGGAGTTACAGCCAACTGTGAATTTTCCAGGCTTTATCTTATTTTACTTTATTTTAGGCCCTCTGAACTTATATAACTTCTCAAAGATTGCTTCTGAGTTTACTTTTCCTGGGGTTTTAGGCAGAGTTGGGTTAGGTTCTTCTCTTTCCAAAATGCTGTCAGATCAGAGAGTGTTTGCATGGAAAGAACAGGGTAGAATTGTTTAGAGATGCATGGAAGTTTATTGTTTTAATACATGAAATTCTCTATTCAAGTAACATTCCATGTTACACAAATCCAGAAAAACTTATAAACAAATACCTGCTTGGCAGCCTCCCTGCTCACCTGAGTTCTGCACTGGGACGGTGCACAGCAGGCCTGGCAGGCCTCCACGCAGTGCTGCATAGCCTCTCTTCAGCCAGGAGCACCCCTGATGTGTTTAATTGGCTTAGCTAACCTTGACTTTATATTGTTTTGTTTTGTTTAATGCAAAGGCTTAGTGCTAAGACCCAAAGGCCCTCTAGGATTCTGTTGTTTGCCTTTGCAGTGAGCTCCATTCAGTGTTTATTGACTGCTCTCTGTGTGCTAGGTGGTATACAAAGAGACACAGTCCCTGCCAAGAATCTGGCATGTTATAATTATTCATTTTCATTCATTTTGTAAATATTTATCAAGTCTACACTGTGTAAGCACTGAACTAGGCAATGAGGAGAGTACACTGACTCACAAAAAGATAGTTTCTTTTCTCCAGAATTTCAGAAATTTGAAAGAAAAATGCAAACTGTTAGCAGAGTAAAATCAAATTACCAGTGAAGGACTGTGAACATACCAGAGTCATTTTCAGTAGAGGAATCAAAAATACTTCTTAAAGGAGGTGGTGTCAGGTAGGATATTGAGCAATGAATGGGATTTCTGCGATGGAGCAGAGTAAAGAGCAACATAGATGTAGAGAGTAAGACAATTAAAAAATATGGAGTTTACAGAAAGTAAATTTGGCATCTGTAGAAGATGCTTAGTGGTTAAAAGTTTGCATTGCTCTTGCAAAGGACCAGAGTCCAGTTCCTAGCACTCATGTCCAGCAGTTCACATCCATCTGTACCTCCAGCTCCAAGGGACCCCTTACTTTCTAACATCCACAGACACCAACACTCACATGCACCCCCGGTTCTCTTCCCTTCCTCTTTTCCTCCCCCTCCCTACTTGCCTTTCTCCCTGCAAAGTACCACCAAAAAAAAAAAAAGAAAAGAAAAATAAAAAGACTCTTAAGATGTTTTAAGGGAGGGGGCTAGAGATACAGCTTTGCTGCTAAGAACTTGTACTTTGCTTGCAGAGGACCCAAGATCAGTTTCTCAGCCCCTGTGTTAGTGGGTCACAACTATATGTAACTCTAGTTCCAGAGGATCTGATGCCCTCTTCTGACCTCTGCAGACACTGCACTCATATGCACAAACCCCCACTCAGACACATCACTTTAAAATTAAAATTTAAAAATAATAGTAAGTAAAAGCAAAGGCACATATAGTGCTGTAATATGCACACTCAGGAAGGTGAGGCAGGAGGATTGAGAATTCAAGGCCACCCTAGGCTTGATAGTGATTCTGTCTCAACAACAAAAGTAAACAGAAAACAAAAAAACAAAAGCATGCCTTTTGTCTCAATTGCTGTTCTGTGAGTTAATCAAGGTAACTTATAGAAGAAATCATTTAATTAGAGTCTTGTTTACAGTTTCAGAGGGTTAGTTCATGATCATTAGGATGGAGGTGTGGCCTCTGGCTGGCAGGCATGGTGCTGAAACAGTAGTTGAGAGCTTACATCCTGTTCCTCAAGCAGGAGACAGAAATAAAGTGAGACTGGACATAGTGTGGGCTTTTGAAACCCATCCTCCTCCAATCTCCTCCAACAAGGCCACACCTCCTAGTCCTTCCTAAATAGTTCACCAACTGGAAACCAAACATTCAAATTTATGAGCCTATGGGGAAGGAGGGTTCATTCTCATTCAAGCCACTAGACCTTTGAAGTAGCAGGTAGGCTCATAGAGTTAGAACATAGAGTGTGGAAATGATAGGAAAGATACTAGGCCAGAAAAGGCAAGAAAGGGCTGCTTCTGATGCATGTTAAAATTTGGGTATTTGATAGTCATACAAAGATAATTAAAGGCTTGTAAGATCAGGTAGATGGGCATTTCAGTATAGCATATATTAGATATGTAATTTCTGGAAGGAATGACTTCTGTTTGTGATCAGAGTGGGCAGTAAGGAGTTGCTAGGTGAGGAAGTTTCCCACCTCTAAGCTGAGGAACCCTTGCTGTGACTCAGTGTCTTGTAGACATGACAGGGAAGCTCTACTCATGAAATTGCAACAATGTGGCTGCCTAAATGAGACCTGAGTAATGACAGCATCAGGCTATCAAGACCATACCTCTAGATGGAGAATATACAGGCAAGGCAGTAGCTGTTTAGGGGAGAGAAACAACCGTCTCATTTTTAATGATGAAATGCACATTCAAAGAGGTATGTAGTTATTAAAAACAAAATCCAAAAATAACCTTAGAAACAAAGGGGAGGGTGAGTTCTATTTGCGTTGAGCATATAATGGTGACTTCCTACTCAAAATTAAGCAGACACTAAAATAGATGTGGAGGTTAATTAGATCCCATAGAAATGTCCCTTGAAGTTTTGATTTGTACGTTAGATCATCTCTTTGTAACTTAAAATGCCTCGTACCTTATAGGCTAACAGTAATAACCTAGCAAAAAATACAAAGGAATGTAGCTAGGCTTTGGTTCACACATGTAATCCCAGCGTTCAAGAGGTTGAGACAACAAGTGACAACACATACTGGGGAAGATGTAAAGAAAGGGGAACCTTCCTTCATTGCTAGTGAGAGTACAAACTTGTAAGACCATTTTGGAAATCAGTCTGGCTTTTTCAGAAAATTGGAAATAGCCAACCTCAAGATCCAGCTATACCACTCCTGGGCATGTACCCAAAAGATGCCACACATTCAACAAGGACATTTACTCCACTTTGTCTCAACAAAGACAAAGCTCCATAGCAGCTTTATTTGTAAGAGCCAGAATCTGGAAACAACCTAGATGTCCCTCAATGGAGGAATGGATACAGAAATTGTAACACATTTACACAATAAAATACTACTCAGCTATTAAAAACAAGGAAATCATGAAATTTGCAGGCATGGATGGAACTAGAAAAGATCATACTGAGTGAGGTAACCCAGAAACAGAAAGACAGGCATGGTATACACTCACTTATAAGCGGATATTGGCCATATAATATAGGATAGCCATACCAAAATCTACAGACCTAAAGAAGCTAAACACTAAGGAGTATCCTATGGAAGATGCTTAAATCTTATTCAGAATGGCAAGCAGAATATACACCAGAATCAGTAGAAGAGAGGGAACAGGGCAGGAGCCTCCTGTAGAGGGTCCTCTGAAAGGCTCCATCTAACAGGGGATCAAAGCAGATGCTGAGACTCACAGCCAGACTATGGGCAGAGTGCAGGGAATCTTATGGAAGAAGAGGGGGGTGGGATAAAAGGACATGGAGGGGACAGGAGCACCACAAGGAGATCAACAAAGCTAAAAATTCTGAGCCTAGGGGGTCCTGCAGAGACTTATGCACCAACCAAGGACCATGCAGAGAGAGGACCTAGACACCCTGCTCAGATGTGGCTGATTGGCAGCTCGGTCTCTATGTGGATCTCTGAGTGAGGGGAGCAGGGGCTGCCTCTATCATGAACTCAGTTGATTCAGATCACTTGCCCCTGATGATGCAGCCTTGCCAGGCCGCAGAGGAAGAGGATCCAGGCAGTCCTAATGAGACTTAACAAGCTATGGGCAGATGGCAATGGTGGAGAACTCCCCCTTTCAGAAGAGAGAGGGTCGGTGGGACTGGGGGGAGTTGAGGGAGAGGGTTTCAGTTAGGATATATAATGAGTAAATTGTGAAAAAATATATAAAAATTAAAAAAAAAAAGAGGCTGAGACAGGTTGATTACCACAAGTTTGAGGCTGGTTTGGGCTACCAAGCAAGACTTTGCGCCCCCTCCCCATTTTTTTTTTTAAATTTTTTTATTTTTAGTATCTAGAAAGATGACTCAACATTTAAGGGCACTCCTACTCTTGCAAAGGACCTGGCTTTGGTTCCCAGCACTGATATGGTGGTTTACAACCATCCGTAACTTCCTCTTCCACCCTCTTCAAGTATTCAGACACACCTATGGTGTGTATACATATATGTAGATAAAACACTCATACACATAAAATAAAGTCTTAAAACTTTCTTAATTATTTGAAGTAAAACAAAAAGGACTTTACCATTAGTGAAAAGTTACTGCATGTCTGTCTGCATGAATTTCTAGCTCATAGAGTTCAAACTTTGTTTCAATTAAAGAACTTTATGGGACTGTAGTAACTACTGCCTTCAAGTATCAGACTTGAGAATCAAAACCAGGTCCAAACACAATTTTCATGAAAATCATTGTCTTTGATTCTGAACACCCATCCTCTCTGGATCTTCTCTTCTTCCTGTGGGGCAGCTGAGACGTTTTCAGTGTGCTTGGGTATCAGAGTTCCCTTCACATCGAAACCCTAACAATCCAAGAGTTCCTTCATGTTCCCTAATATTAGGAATGGAATGAGCACCAGCTCAAAAGTGAGAATCCTAACTAAGCCATGAATACATTCTTTAAGTTTTCACTGAGACAGTCATACTAGGTCTTTGGCCCACGTAATTATGTAGAATTACATAGGTGCAAGAGTATACACAGTGAAATCAGCCACAGTTAAAGGAGAATGAAAATCCTGAGTTACGTTGTGAAGTAACTTGTCAGATATAATGTTATGGAAGTATTGAATTAATGGTAAGTATATAATTTAGGTGGACTTGTGTTTTTAATCAGTATTTGCTAGAATAATCAGTTTATCAAAATATTGATAATGATTGCCTCAACTAGAGGTGTTTCAGACAAAAGGTCATTGACCACATTTAAAGCAATATCAATTTATAAACTGTTTTAAAATCTGTGTCATTGAGTTGTATACCAGAGCCTCACATCCCAGAGCCCATATTACTGTAGGACTGAAGGCCATCTGGAACCGGCGTGCTCACTTACCACCTCAAAAGCTCTTTGTATTCAAGCATTTTAAATTGAAGATGAGGATGATAGCATGCTGTGTTTAAAGCTCTACAACAGCTGGCTTTGTGTGACAGCCTTTGCTGCTACAGTCTAGCACTTCTAGTGACAAAGTGGCATTTAGCTGTTGTCTGGCTTTCAACCCTGACCTGCTGCCCCGTGCCATTTCACATTTGAGAAGACAGTAGCGGGAGACATGGGCTGCCCATGTTGTGCCTTGGAAACTAAAAGCAAAGATTTGGGTGGCTGATTAGGTTGTGGTGGGATGGATGAGGCCACATTATTATGTTTTGTTGTTATTGTTGTTAAAAGGTTTTAGAAGTGTGAGTGCTCGTGCATGCATATCAGGCAGAAAGGGTAAATAATTATGCAACTTAGTATCTGGACACATGGTCTGGAGGGGAAGCTTCTTCAGGGTTTTTGCCGGCTTGTGGAGGAGAGCGGTCTGCTGGGAGAACTGCAGAGCTGGTGGGCTTTCACCCCTGTCGAGCTTGCTAGTTCCTTGCCACATGTGGTTTAGGAAAATGTGACGGTACAAGTGCAGGACCGACCTTTTAATTGTTTTAATTAAAATTTATAAAAAGCCAGGTGTAGCTAGTAGCTGTCAAACTGTAGAGTACATTTTAGAAGCAGAGTGAAAGTGGAATAAATATCAGAACCATTATGTTAGAGATTATTGTTTGTGCCCTGAAAAGTCCGCATCTTGAGTGACTGGTAGATGTGTGTACGGTGTAATGAGGTGGCTTCCATAACAGACATTTGTAATTGTTGTAGTGTAAAGAGTTAGGCAAATGTAGCTTCAGAGCTTGAAAGCATCACCCAGGTCCCCACTGAAGCTCCTCCTCTGATTTCCAAGGCTTTTTGAAACCCGGGTGTTTGTTCCTACCTTGTCAGTTTCCCTGACTCTTTGATCACTTCCACATCAGTTCTCCAGCGGAAAGATTGTAGGTAGTGACACAACCCTCCCTTTGGAATAGAGAACTGGTGTTTCCTGTACTCGTTAACAGCATCATTATCTGGAGCTTGGGGCTTACTGCCTCTAAGGCAGCATTTGTGCTGATCCTCCTGCGGTTCCTTCCCTAGGGGGACCCTCAGAAAGATGAGAAGACACTGCCCTTTCCTTTGTGTCATAGGAGGCAATGTGGTTTGTCGAGGTTATAGCAGTCAGGGTTAGAGACAATGTGTAACTTACATATTAATGAACTGACTTCATGCAGTTAGAAAACCCAGAAGCCTAAGTGCACTCATGTTCTGTACCTGTAGACCCTGTGTCTCCATGAGTGTGCACCCACTACAGTGAACTTTCCTGTTTATGAGTGACCCTAACTGGAGAAACTAGAGATGTCTCTCTATAGTAAGAAATGTGTTCTACATACCCAAATGTTCACAGACAGACTTAGTTGCTTTGTCTCCTTCAGGAGTTCAGCAGTACTCTGTTCAATGGGGTCACATTTTGGTGTCCTAATGTCTGTTCTCCGTGTCTCCTAGAAGACTGTAACTACAGCTTCTATGATTACCACAAAGACACTACCTCTCGTCTTGAAAGCAGCAACTGCGACCATGCCTGCCTCTGTTGTGGGCCAGAGACCTACCATTGCTATGGTGACCGCCATCAACAGTCAGAAGGCTGTGCTCAGCACTGATGTGCAGAACACACCAGTCAACCTCCAGACGTCTAGTAAGGTCACTGGGCCTGGGGCAGAGGCTGTCCAAATTGTGGCAAAAAACACAGTCACTCTGGTAAGCCAGTAGCTGCTACTCATCTGTTCACATGGCAGGGTTCAGGTGTGCATTGTGGAGGGCGTCCACTTTAGGCTCCTGCTGGGTTCTTAGTTCCCATCATTCTCCTGGCAAAGCAAACTCCCTTAGGAGCCTGTCACTTAACTACAGAGGTCTCTTGACAACCAAGGACCATATTTAGTGTACTGTCTGAGGTCAAAGTAGGACTTGGTCTTAGAGGGAAAGCGGCCTCCACAGAAGCACACACTGTTCTGCTTCTCTTTCCCTCCACTCTGTCCACTCTGGGGAAGAGAGCGGGGGCTTCCCAAATCTGAGTGCTGAAACTCTGTATGCTGTGTCCTGCTCAGAGGAAGACCCTCTGCTACATCCTTTCAGTTCATTATTCCTCTTAACTGAATGAAGCCAGACAGTACTTAGAATTGGTTGGGGCACACTTTAAAAATATTCAAGAAACTCTGATTAATGTGCTAAAGGCCAAGTCCTACCAGAAAGAGGATTGCCTGCAAAAAAAAAAAAAAAAAAAAAAATGCTTAAACAAGATTGTCTGTGAGATTTCATGATCAAGCCATTTAGATTCTTGTTCCTGGGAGTTTATGAAGACTAGGTCCAAATTGTGATACTCAGGTATCCTATTCAGATGACAAAGCTCTTGGTAGCTTTTTGAATAATGATGAGTAAAAACAAAGTGAAGCTTTGTCGCTTACCCAGGAATCCATAGAGATGCAGCCCTATCACTCAGGCACATACTAGGGTTCAAAAGTTTTCTGTGGACAGAGCGTGGTGGGGCAACACCTTTAATCCCAGTACATGGGATACAGAGGCAGATCTCTGTGAGTTTGAGGCCAGCCTGGTCCACACACACCGGTTCCAGGACAGCCAGCACTGCACAGAGAAACCCTGTCTCGAAAAAGAAAAAGAAAAAAACCTCTCTGTAGAAAGAAAGCCATTCTTTGTTGGTAAAGCTTGTATCTTTTGAGGGATCCATTTGGTCAGACAGCAAATTTGATTTTACTTTAGATATAGTTTTGACTCTTAAAATATATAAGTCTAAGAGTTCATGAGTCCACTCTATTCTGCTGAGTCTACTGTATTCTGCATAAAGCATGTGGAGACAGGAGTGTGGTCGATCATTTTATGGGACAGTGTGCAGGTAGGAAAGGAAATAGTTTCTAAAGCAGTGTTAATTTATGTGGTGAACTGTAAGGAAAGAGCTGATGGGAATTCTGTGTGATGTGGAACAAATACACCCGTGTCCTTTGTGTGTCTGCCTTTAACCCTAAATTGTGACTGCCCTCAGGTTTATGTATCTTTCCCTGTTTTTTAGCAGGTTCAAGCAACACCCCCTCAGCCCATCAAAGTACCACAGTTTATCCCTCCTCCTAGACTCACTCCACGTCCAAACTTTCTTCCACAGGTGAGCAGTGGTGAAGTGGCATGAGAGCCTCATGGGCCTGCCAATGCCCATGTTGAAGGTGAAGCAAAACTACCTAATTGTAAAGCAGCCAAGATAATACCATGGAAGCATCACTTTGGTTGGGGGAAATACAGCCAAAACTGTCCTAGCAGTCGGAAAAGGAGATACTCAACACCGTTGATATCTTTTCCCTTTGCTAGGAGGAGTAGAAGGAGAATCTACAGCCAGGCGAGCCATCGTGGAACCTGGCTCACGGAAGTTGGAGAAGGGGTCTGCATTGGGCTTTTTTACCAGTCCAAAGCAGTACTGCTGCCCCTAACCCCTGAAAGTTCTACCAGTAGCTGAACTGACCCTGCTCAATGCCAGGCAGTCTGTCCAATAGAAAGGTCAATACTCTCTGAGGCTGGAGTTTTCAGACAAAGAAGAGAAAGGAGTCTGTCTGTGAAGGGTTGCACAGTGCTAGCATGAGAGAAGGTCATCCTGTTCTTTACCGGATAGATCTTTAATAAGTACTGTTGGAAGCAAGCATGGTACTAAGCTATTGTGCCCTGCATATGCTGATTTTCAAGATGTAGTTCTCAGCCATGGAGGAGCAGCATCCATCACAGATGCCTATAGGGAGTTATACAGTGTCCATACGGGAAGTACGGTAGACTGAGTATGGGGAAGGGACACAGACCGTTCTGGAGTGATAGAGAAAGTGCATTCACAATTCCTTCACGAGTCTACATTTAGCCGGGTGGGATGGCTCAGACCTTTAGTCGCAGTACTCAGGGAGGCAGAGGTAAGGGGAATGCTGTGAGTTAGAGGACAGCATGGTCTACAAAATGAGTCCAGGACAGCCAAGGGTACACAGAGAAACCCTGTCTCAAAAAAAAAAAAAAACAAAACAAAAAAAGGTATCATATTGCCATCCTGGGCACGTATAAAGTGTGCTTTCATTCTCACACAGCCTATGAAAAGTTTTGAGTAAAGAATCAGAGGTTTAGTCCATGTTTTTCAAACAGTGAAATGAATGTGGTATGTTGATAGATGAAGCTTTTGTGTTTTTAGGGATATGCCCATGGATGTTGGTAACAGTGTTAAATGTAGTTCCTGCTACTATGTCAGCAGAAGCCTTCACAGCATCACTTTAAGTTAAGCTAAACATCCAGACTTAGAAGGCTGTCATGGGCCACATTTGGTACCAGTCTGCTTGGAAATGCTGTAATACTTGCCTCTTCTAGTAAAACAGAACTCTTTTTCTCTCTCTCCCAGGTTCGACCCAAGCCTGTGGCCCAGAATAACATTCCTATCGCTCCAGCGCCTCCTCCCATGCTTGCAGCTCCTCAGCTTATCCAGAGGCCTGTCATGCTGACCAAGTTTACACCCACAACCCTCCCCACCTCCCAGAATTCCATCCACCCCGTCCGTGTTGTCAATGGACAGACTGCAACCATAGCCAAAACATTCCCCATGGCCCAGCTCACCAGCATTGTGATAGCTACTCCAGGGACAAGACTCGCTGGACCTCAAACTGTACAGCTTAGCAAACCAAGCCTTGAGAAACAGGTACGTGCGGAGTGTGTACCCACCTGCTGTGGCAGGAGCCTTGCCCTTGAAGCAGAGGCTGCTAGAAGCTTTCTGTGGAGTGTGCTCCCCCTGCTGGTTTTATGCAGAAATTCACAGATAGGCTCCCCTGCCTCAGTGAGGAAGCAACCCACACCGGAAACACAAAACACCCTGTGAGCTTCTACCCAGTAAGAATCCAGATGAGGATCTGACTGTGAAAGTAGGAACAGTAAACACTGCAGGGAAAGGAATTCCATTTCAGAGAACTTCCCTTGATCATCACAGATAATGTCTAACCAAACAAAAATTTTAACTTTCCAAAAAAATCATCCTTTGAGATATAAACTAGATGCAGCAGACATTTTAGTACAGACAAAAGTCTAGATTTTTCTCATAAGTTAGTGAGAGTAGGGTAAAGCTAGGTAACCTCCAGAGAAACCCTAAAGGCACAACAGCAGCCTTGGAGACCAAAGAGTTTCGAGGCAGTCATCATTTCCATCTGGAGAAAGAACAGTGACGAGATGGAATTCTTCAGAAAAAAGCAATTTTTCAAGAGAGTTGCTTTAACTAGTCATTGGCCTGGTGGGGCACATATGTCCAGGAGGCTGAGGCAGAAAGATGGTCAAAGGTTGGAGGCAGTCTGCGCTGCAAAACCAGGACCATCCTACTCAGCTGTAGATCTCCATGCTCCTTGACATAGTGTCACTGTGCCACTCTCCGTCACTGAACCTAATTTTTCTTTATAAAGAAAAAGGTTTTATTTTCATTTTCATTTTATTTTCCATTTTCTTTCTGATTATACAGATAATCATGTAACTTAAAAAAAAATACAAATGTCACAGAAATAAAAATTGTAGAAGATGCTTTCCCCCTAAAATTGTTCACTTCCTAAAATTTTAGCACAGTCTTGCCTCTAGTAGTTAATTATTACTAACTTTCTCAATTCTGTGCCTCTCTTAAAATGTCAGTCCCCTGGTCTGTTTCGCATTGCTTAGACATGATCTCCTCATTCCTGAGAAGCTAGTACCTGGTAAGCTTCCACCTGAGTGGGTGACTGACAGTGATTCAGAGAGCCTCGCCCCTGTGTGCATGTCACAGGGAATGTTGCCTTGGCCTTCTTGGACAAAGGAACCTTGCACAGTTACTCCCAGGCCTTGGACTCAGGCTGCTCCTCCATGCAGCACAGTTGAGTTACAAAACCTTGTGCTCAGGAAACACACAAGATAGCTCATCACCAGGATCCTGCGGATCCTGCCCAAACACAGAAAGTGCTTTGAGGAACATCCTGAAGTAAATTATTTTTAATATAATTTTTTATTTATTACAATTTATTCACTTTGTATCCCAGCTGTAGCCCTACCCTCATCCTCTTCCAATCCTTCCCTCCCTTCCTTTTATCCTCCCATGCCTCTTCTCCAGTCCACTGATAGTAGAGGATCTCCTCCCCTTCCTTCTGACCTTAGCCTATCAGTTCTCATCAGGACTGTCTTTCATAGTCTTCCTCTGTGGCCTGGTCAGGCTGCTCACCCCTCAGGGGGCGGTGATCAAAGAGCTAGCCACTGAGTTCATGTCAGAGACAGCCCCTGTTTCCCTTACTAGGGAGCCCAGTTGGAGACTGAGCTGCCACGGGCTACTTCTGTTCAGGGGGTCCAGGTTATCTCCATGAATGGTCATTGGTTGGAGTATCAGTCTCAGTAAAGACCCCTAGGCCCATATTTTTTGGTTTTGTTGTTCTCCTTGTGGAGCTCCAGACCCTTCCAGGTCTTTCTATTTGCCCCTTCTTTCATAAGATTCCCTGCACTCTGCCCAAAGTTTGGCTATGAGTCTCAGCATCTGCTTTAATACCCTGCTGGGTAGTCTTTCAGAGGCCCAATGTGGTAAGCTCCTGCCTTGTGCCTTATTTTCACCTTCTTCTGATGTCTGTCCCATTTGCCTTTCTGAATGAAGATTGAGCATCTTACCCAGGATCCTCCTCCTTGCTTAGGTTCTTTAGGTATATAGAGTTTAGTATGATTATGCTATATTATTTGTCTCATATCCACTTATAAGTAAGTATATACCACGTATGTCTTTCTGCCTCTGGGATAGCTCACTCAGGATGATCTTTTCTAGTTCCTACCATTTGCCTGCAAATTTCATGATTTCCTTGTTTTTAATTGCTGAGTAGTATTCCATTGTGTAAATGTACCACAATTTCTGTAGCCATTCCTCAACTGAGGGACATCTGGGTTGTTTCCAGATTTTGGTTATATCTCACAGAGAGCTAATATCCAGAATATGTAAAGAACTCAAGAAATTAAACAGCAACAAATCAAGCAGTCCAATTAAACAATGGGGTACAGAGCTAAACAGAGAATTCTCAATAGAGGAATATTGAATGGCAGAAAAACACTTAAAGAAATGCTCGTTCTTACTCATCAGGGAAATGTAAATAAAACGACCCCATGATTTCACCTTACACCCATCAGAATGACGAAGATCAAGAACTCAAGTGACAACACATGCTGGAGATGATATGGGAAAAGGGGAACCCTCCTCCATTTTTGGTGGGAATGTAACCTTGTATAACCACTTTGGAAATTCCAAATTTGGTGCTTTCTCAGACAATTAGGAATAGTGCTACCTCAAGATCCAGCTAGACCACTCCTAGACATATACCAAAAGATGTTCAAGTATACAACAAAGACATTTGCTCAACCATGTTCGTAGCAGCTTTATTCGCAATAACCAAAATCTTGAAACAACCCAGATGTCCCTCAATTGAAATAAATTATTAACACCAACTTTAGATCATACGGTTTTAGACTGTGCAGCAGCCACTCTTCAGTGCTTAAGTATGGAAAGTTGTGTGCTCAAGTACAGAGGCTTAGGAGACAAGTCCTCGAGGTGAGGCTGAGCCCCAGACATGTTGTGGTGCCTCAGTGCACCTTAGAAGGTGGCTTCATAGCACCACTTTCCATCATGGAACCTCCCTTCTCTTTCACCTTTTGTTAAATTAAAAAAAAAAAAAAAAAAAAAAGCTTTTGCTGGGCAGTGATGACACATGCCTTTAATCTCAGCACTTGGCAGGCAGAGACAGTCAAATCTCTGTAAGTTCCAGGCCAGCCTGGTCTCCAGAGCTGGTTCTAGGACAGGCAGGGTTACACAGCGAAACCCTGCCTTAACAAAATCCAAACAAATAAAAGTGAAACTTTTTTTCATTTTCATCTTATTTTTCCATTTCTTTTTCTGATTATGCAGATTACACATGTGATTTTAAAAATTCAAACATCATAGAAATATAATTTATAGAAGATGCTCTCCCCAAGTGGGGTGGTGGTGGCAAATGCCTTTAATCCCAGTACTCAGGAGGCAGAGGCAGGTGGATCTCTGAGTTCCCAGCCAGCCTGCTCTACAACGTGTACAAAGTGAGTCCAGGGCAGCCAGGGATGCACAGAGAAACCCTGTCTTGAAAAAAATAAAAAACAAACAAAAGACAATGCTTTCTCATAACCTATATGTTTTCTGTAATTTTAATTAATATTAATTACTATTAGTAATTATCACTAATACCAGTAATTAATTACAATTAACATTTTATATTACATACCTCCAGAAATATCTGGAGGTATTCCAGATATTTACATACTAACAATTTTAAAATGGTAAAAGCAAACTATGTGTTTTAACACAATCTTTTCTAGGTATTGGACATCTTTTCATGTCTCAGACTTCCATGTTGGTGGCATTTTATAGTTTGATTTTAATAGCATGGAAGTTCTAAGTTGAAGGCTTTTTTGATAGTAGTATGTCCTGGCATCTTTCCTCTTTGCTAAAATATAGGAATTCAGTCATTGCTAGTTTATTTGGCAGGCCATCTGGCATAGCCCAGTTAGCAGGGACACTCTAGACTAAATTCTAGTCTCAGAATTCCCTTCTTCAGAGCTCCTACTGACCCTCTCATAGTGGGCTAACCTATGGAAACAAGAAGTCACCTGTTCACAGAGTTACTAAGCCTGAATGTATGGCGTTCTCAAGACTCGCTAAGTCTGCTGTTTTCTCAAAAGTGATAACTTTCTCACTTCTTGAAGATACATTAGTGAGCTGTAGGGATATAGCTCAGTGGTGGAGCTCTGGCCTGGCATATACAAGGACCTGGTTTTCATTCTCATACCAAAAGAAAATCAAGTGCAAGCTACTTTGTGCCTTATGGAATTTGTATGTAAAGATGAGAAGAAAAAAATCACAACCCGTACCACATAGAGCTCAGTCTCTGGTTCATTTGGAGCAGGCATTGAGGTTTTGCGTGGCAGAGTATGTTGATCTGTGGTAGTGGAGTTCCTGTCTTACAATGTAATGGTCAGGTAATGGTCTCACATCTGCCCCATGACTCATATTAATCACCTCCACTAAGAGGTCCTTAGATACCTCCTTTACTGAAGCCACATTACTCTGTGGCTCTAAGAGAAAAGAGGAGGAGTTTGCAGAGCTTGAAGGCTAAAGACCGGGAATACTGTACAGACACTGTGGGCTTTGGTTCCAGACCACCACAGTTAAGCAAGACATACAAAACATTCAGGTCCACACCCTGCTCTCCTGGTACCCTTAGAGCCGTGTGTACACTGTGCTGCGTGCTCAGGGTGCAGCAACACTGCAGTGTCAGTTGTCAGGCCTTCAACAGATAGTACCTTTGCAGCTGGCTGAGGGTCTTGCTCTGACATTGGTGGCTGCTGACCGTCACACTGATGGCTGGTAGTTGAGGTGACTGGCAAGCTTCCCCAGTCACGGTCCTTTCATGCGGGATGTCTCTGTGGCATGTGACGTAGTTGGGTGGCACCTTTCCCATGGCCGGGCTCCTTTTAAAAACCAGAATGAATCTGTGATATTCTCTGGAGAAGATTCCATCTCAAGAAAACATTCACTCCTCCCGGGTAGAGAGCAGCTCATCCCCCTCTAGAGCCTGTCACAGCATTAGTGCCACGACAGCTATTTCTGACTCTCCCACCCACCACTTCTGTTCC